GAATTTCAAAATTAGCTTAAAAGATTTTGGGTGGGCCTCAATCCCCAAAAATTTCACAGCCAATCTAGAGCATTGACGGTTGCATCACTGCCTGGTATGGCAACTGCTCGGCCTCTGCTGCAAGGCACTACAGGGGTAGTGGTATGGCCCGTACTCCTGGGGCCAGGGTTTCCCGCCTCCAGGACCTCTTACCAGGGGGGGTGTAAAGGAAGGGGCCCTAAAAAGTGTCAAAAACTCCAGCCACCTTTGTCATAGACTGTTTCTACTAGCATGGCAAAAGACCGGAGTGCCAATTAGGGCCCCAAAAGGCTTTTTAACAGCTTTCCCCCCAAACCATAGACTCAGAACATTTTCATGGTACCCGGACAGTTTTTTATCTAGCAAGGAATTTAAATCTACCCCATAACTTAACAACCAAAATAATCTGAAACAACCAAAAAAACAACCAAAGTATCCAAAAAATTTGTAGTGCACAACTTGATTTTATCATTTCGTGCTAGAAGTTTGGGCCAATACTTTTTCCCCAAAAAGGGGGGCTTGTACAAAAATGCTCTAATTTTTGAAAGGGTTTACCCGATTGGATGAAAAAACACGCAAATTCAAGTTGACAGTTGCACTTTTTCCACATAGTCGTTTTTAAATGTTTCGCAAAAAAAATAAAAAGGCTTTCACCCCAAAATAATTTTGGAGGGACTTATTTTATATTTAAAGGGAACATTGTTATGAATTTTGGGCTAAACATTCTTCTAACTTTTGGCTTAGGCTACATCTGGTCTGTCTTAAATTTTTGTTCCAATTCGACCTGTCCCCTGTGCCACGGGTTCCTTTAAATTTGTGGAGCCCCGGAAAGTCAGACTCAAAAACTTTTTTGGGCACATTTTGATTGTTTTTTTGAGCCTATAGTAGCCTAAGGAGGGAGATGCAGCTTGCCTTGCGCTAATGTAAAATAGGGTACAGCATTAAGGGTGGGGAGTTGGAGAAGCCCATTTTCCATAGTAGGGCCTTTTAACCCGGGCTACATCCCGAAAAAAGGCCTCACCCTATGATGGCCCGTAATGACCTTTTGGACCGCAAATCAAACGCGAGAAAGGACCAAAATGATCCAAAAGGTTACATATCAGGCCCAGGTTTTGGCCTACATTATGTAGGCATGAAACAAAAAAGGCCATGAGCGGTTTTTTCAAATTTGCACGCAGTTTTTCAACCTATGTAGAATAATTGTATATTCATTTATAACAAAAATACATTTTTCATTGCACTGGTTTTTGTAGCCCCGTATAATAATTTTTTGTCTAAAAAACTAGGCCTGATCAAAAGTGGGGTTTGCGAGCCTGAGACCAAAAGCACGCGTGAAAACCACTACGATCTACCTTTTATAACGTGTTCATTTTTTGACAGGGAAATATTTTGCCAAAAGCTTAATATTGGTAAGAAGGCCAATATCAAGCTAATACTTTGCTTCTTACTTCGGCTACAATCACTAGCCACTTTCCCTTTTCCCTTCGCAAACAGGCTATAGGCACGCGCCCCTTTCCCCAATGGGGGCCCTTCCCTTTGGCTACAAAAATATGGGCATTTTTTGATAAGTTTATACAGGCCCAATACCCCATTTGGGAAGAAGCGGCTTTTCTTTGCAATGCTGAATTAAAAAGGCCTCAGCATAGAAAATTTTCGGGAAAAATTGAGGGGAAGGGAAAAGCTTGGTTACACTTTTGGCCGGTTATGATAACATTGGCCCTGATGTATTGCAAAAATTTCACAGGACATACACAGAGAGCACATAAAAAGAAGACCTAAAGGCATTTAAAAATTGCAAAAAGGAAAAACACTTGCAAACCCCTTGGGGAAAACAGGAGGCGAATGCTGTAAAAGTTTGAGGCTAAAAAGGTTTTTTGTTGATTGCTCATTTTAAATAATTTTTTTTTTCATTTGGTTAAGAGCCTCTTTTTTTTTTGTCCTGGTTTTCCGACAATTAACATTTTCCGAAAGCCTTTTGGGCTCCCTTCTTGGGGTTTTCCCCCTGAAATTTTTGTTCCCCTAATTTGGCACCCCTTCTGGGGCTTATCAGTTTTTGAAAATTTTGGGGGTTAGAACGATAAATTTTAAATTTCCTCAGTATGGATGCACCCAAATTTTTTTTGTTATGTAGCCTTGTTTATCATTATTAGTTTTTGGTGTAAGTATTAATTTTCCCGGGTTAAAACCCAAAAAAACAAGTTTTTTAAAAAGAAAGCCTGGTTACAATGTATACAACTACCAACTTGGGAAATAAATTAAAAAAATTAAACTAACTTTTTTACTTACTTTTTTATTTATAAAAAAATTTCTCTGGGAAGTTTGCCCCCGAGGGGCTGCATAGGTAAGCAACAGAATTTTAACCCACTTCCCTTGTTTTGGGTGTGTGTCATGAGCCTCTCCTCCCCCGGGTTACCACCTTAATTTCTTCCCTCTGCCACCACCTTCCCCTTTCTCAGCCAACTACTCCACCTGCCCTTCTTGCTCTGCTCTAAATTTTTCCCAGCTGCCGCATTCCCACTACCTCCCCAGTATTTAAGGTGTCTTTTTAGCTCTCCCCTTGTTCCCC